CCCCAAAACCCCAAAACCCCAAAACCCCAAAAAGAGAAAATTTAATTGCATTTAGAACATTTTTACTTAATTCTCAGAAATGAAGAAGATGGATCTTAATAATGAAGGCTTGGATTTTGTCATCCTAGGCACTGGACTCACTGAAACCTTGTTAGGGACTGACCTCAGCCTTGGGGGTAAGAAGGTCTTGCACGTTGACCTGGGTAGTTGTTATGGCGGAGCTCTTTCTAACTATAACCTTAAAAATTTCGTCACCTTTGTGGATACATGGAAGGAGAAATCCAATTCAAACGCTCTGTATAAGGGATCATGTCTCAGAAACTTCCAGACGGTTGATAAACTTGACTTACATGAAGAGCTGATTAAGTCTGAATCGAGGAACTTCAGTTTAGACTTGATTCCAAAGGTAATTTTCTCCAAATCCAAAAGCGTGAACTATTGATTGGATAGTGGAGTCTCCTTCTATCTGGAATTTCAAAACATCATCAACAACTTCATCTTCCTGAAGGGGAGGTTTATGAAGATTCCCTTCAGCAAGAGTGAGGTGTTCATGAACACCGATCTCAGCTTGGCTGAGAAGAGGAATCTTGTGAAGATCATCAACCACTCACTCCACTTCTACGACAAGTATGGGGAGAAGGAAGAAGAAGGTATTTCAAAGTATTTTTTACCTTTAGAGTACCGGGATCAAAACAGCACACATACTTATGAGAAAGATATTTATGTCACAGAGAAAGAAGACGCCGAATTTGAGTCTTATAGGGATAAACCTATAGCAGAGTACCTGGAACACCATAAGATCGACTCAGGACTGTGCTATATTTTATTGTATGCATTAGGAAATGTAAATGAGTCTCAAGAGAAGCCAGAAGATATTTCTCTTGAAAAAGTATCAACTTTAGAGTTTTTCGCCAGAATTTCTAAATACCTTAGATCTATTGGATACTATGGTCACACACCCATGCTTATGGCTAATTATGGAACTTCAGAATATGTACAGAGCTTCTCAAGAGTTGGATCTTTATTCGGAGCTATCTATATGCTGAATGACACTGATCTGTCGATTTCTGATCCTGTAATTGTTGAGAACAAACTTGAGAGTATAGAGCTTTCTCTAAACGAGACTCCTTTAAGACCTACAGAAGGTTTTATTGTTGGCAAAGAATACGAACATCTCTTCACGGCTGAAGAGACAAGCCTGTTCACTGAAGAGACCTGTTACCCAATTGTATGCCAGAGGATGGTGATAGTGAGTCATATTCAGCTTTCTAAATCAGAAAAAGGGCCACCTATCTTCAGTATCCCTCCTAAAGCAGTGAACGAAGAAAGGAAATTTGATCTAGATAATAAACACCCAATCAGAATTATCCAGCAAGGTTTCGGGTCAGGGATTACTCCTAGAGGTTTCTATTGCTATCACATCTCGATGATCCAGAACTTCGAGCACAAGGATGATTTTTCAGTCCTACTAGAACTAAAAGACCTTCTGTTCGGGCATGACTCAGTAGAAGTTATAGGAGAAGGTCGCCAAGAAAACAAAGATGTCATTATTCAGACAATGATGGACATCATTGAGAGAAAGAAGCAGGAAGAGGAAAGAAGGAATCGTTTCAATAAACAAAAAGAGCAAGAAATGCTTGACAAATTAGAGGAAGAAAGACAAATCCAAGAAGCCATCAAGAGGTCACTCCAAGAATCAGGTAAAATATTCTTTATAAGGGTTTAGAAGGAACTATCGATGATCAACAACAAAATGATGGAAAAGAGGAGGTAACCAAAGTTGAAGAAGAGAAAAAGGAGGAACCTGAAGAAGAGGAAATAAAGATTTATGAATACTCTGATCTAGCATCTAGTGATATAATTTACTCCTGAGTATACACCCAATATTGTCGTAAGCCAGACACAACTCCTGGGTCAAAGCTTACTAAGGTATTTCTGATCGCTAATCTCTGTAGGACATTACAAATGCATGGGTGATTGAAGATGCCACATTCGATCTTGACCTAGACGAGTATTTCAAGATAGCAGAAGAATTTAATAAAGAACATCTCAGAGATAAAGGCGGCCAAGCAGAGTTCCTCAAGAGAGAAAATCTTCCAAAAGAAGAAGTATATGGTGCAGATAGCGAGAAATCAGATGACATGCTAGATGAACTCGAAAAAGACATCTTCGGGGACACTGAAGATGCAAAAGAACAGTCTTCAGTCTCAGAGACTGCTAATACCGATAAGCAAGATGAGGCAGAAGTTAAAGTTGATGAAGAAAAGCCAGAGCAAGAGGAAAATACTGAAGAAAAAGAGGCTGCAGAGGATGTTGATGACCTTTTAGACGATCTCCTTGAAGATAATTAGTTTCAATAGGCAATTTGAATCATGGGGTTTTGGGGTTTTGGGGTTTTGGGGTTTTGGGG